CGCTTCTTCCGGGGCCCCGCCCCGCCCCGCCCCATCTCCTAGCCCCGCCCCGGGTCCCGCCCCATCGTGGCCAGGCTAGCGGCTCGCGGCTCGGCGCTTCCGCTTCCGGTGCTGTCTGTGGCGGCGCGCGAGACAGCTATGGCGGCCGGTGGCGTTGATCCGCGGGCTGGCGACGTCGAGGAGGACGCTTCACAGCTCATCTTTCCCAAAGGTGAGGTGAGGTGATGCGGGGCTATCTCTAATCATCGGTCGCTTCTCGCTGAATTCCTGGCCTCAGCGGACGGCCGGGGTCCATCCCGGCGCGGCGTGGAGCTGGGGGAAGGGGGACCCTGGCCCTGGAAGGATCCTGGTCGGGCACCGGCGGACCCTGGCGTCGCGGCTTCCACGCTCCCATCCCTGGAATGCTCGGCGCCCACTGGCATTTGCCCCTGCCGGGCCTCCTGCTGCCTGTGTTAGGTGCACTAGTGTCTTTTACCCGGGAACAGACTGCCATCTGCTGCCTCGCAGGGTGCATACCAGCAGGAAGCTGGAATCAGCAGTGGAGCCAGAACCAAATCCAATATTGGATGCTGCACGGGACTTGGGTTTCCCAAAGTAGCATCTGAACCACGGTACCTTCGTTTTGTACTAGAGAGAAAAATGTATGGTGTAAGAAGACCACTCAAGGGGCTGCGCCGTGGCTCACTTGGTTAATCCTCTGCTGCGGCGCCGGCATCCATATGGGCACTGGGTTCTAGTCTCGGTTGCTCCTCTTCCAGTTCAGCTCTCTGCTGTGGCCCGGGAAGGCAGTGGAGGATGGCCCAGGTGATTGGGCCCTGCACCCGCGTCGGACACCAGGAAGAAGCACCTGGCTTCGGTCGGCGCAGCTCCAGCCGTGGCAGCCATTTAGGGGGTGAACCAACGGAAGGAAGACCTTTCTCTCTCTCTCACTCTGTCTCACTCTTATCTGTCAAATAAATTAAAAAAAAAAAAAAAGACCACTTAAACAAGCCACTCGTAAACCATTAATGACTGTAGTGCAGGAACCTCAAGAGAATTTCCAGGTGACTTACTGACCAAAGAATCATTTTAAGTTATTTGTGACCGCCATTTTTAAAATAGCTGCACTGGGGCAACATGTAGGTCCCTGATTTCACCTAGAAAATAATGAGTTTAGCCTTAGGGAGAAATATTGAAGCCTTCCTCTCCATAGTGTTTTCTTTTTTTAGATTTATTTGTTTACTTGACAGAGTGAGAATGAGAGCAGGAGGGAGAGAGAGAGATCAGAATCGCTCTTTCATCCACTGGTTCACTCCCCAGAAGGTCATCATGGCTGGGGCTGGGTCAGGTTGAAGCCAGGAACCAGGAACCCTATCTGGTCTCCCACGTGGATGGCAGGGGGCCAGTCTGTTGAAGTAGAATCCTGGAAATGTTTCTCAGGGGCTTGGTGGTATCACACACTCTTTGCCTAAGCCACTCCAATCAGCCAGTTTGGCTTTTTCTTTCTCTTTTCTTTTGTTTGGGGGGGTGGGGTGGGGTGTATGTTGTGGAAAGGCAGAGAGACAGCTGCCATCCACTGATTGGTTCCCCAGATGCCCACAGTGGCAGAGCTGGGCTGGGTCACCAAGAGCTGGGACTGCAATAAAGGTCTCCCACATGGGCGGGAGGGACCCAACTGCTTGAACCATCAGTTCTGCCTCCCAGGGTCTGCGTTAGCAGGAAGTTATAAATCTGCAGCTGGAACCTGAACCCAGGTCCAGGTGTGCTCATGTGGGATGAAGGCATCTTCCCTGCTAGGGCAAACACATGCCCTTTCCTTGACTGAAGAAAGTGAGGGTAGTGTGTAAGTAGTACTTGGGCATTGCCTTAGTGAGGAATGGGAATGAATGACTAGTCTCTGCTGTCCTGACATTCCATTCCCATTACTTTTGTTGTTAAATTAATTTATTTGGGAGCTGGCGCTGTGGGGCAGTGGGTTAATGCCCTGGCCTGAAGCATCGGCATCCCATATGGGCGCCGGTTCGAGACCTGGCTTCTCCACATTCCATCCAGCTCTCTGCTATGGCCTGGGAAAACAGTGGGAAAACATGGCCCAGGTCCTTGTGCCCTGTGCCCATGTGGGAGACCGGGGAGAAGCTCCTGGTTCTTGGCTTTGGATCGGCACAGCTCCGGCTGTTGCAGCCATCTGGGGAGTGAACCAGCGGATGGAAGACCTCTCTCTCTCTCTTCTCTCTCTGCCTCTCTTCTCTCTGTGTAACTCTGACTTTCAATTAAAATAAAAATCTTTAAAAAAATTAATTTATTTGAAAAGCAGAGTGACAGAGACAGGAGAGACATCTTGTGTTCCCTGTCCTCCCCCAGATGGCTGCAACAGCCAGAGCTGGGCCAGGCTAAAGCCAGGAGCCAAGAACTCCATCCGTGTCTCCCGTGTGGGTGGCACGAATTCAAATAGTTGAGCCATCACCCAGGTGCATTAGCAGGGAGCTGGCTTGGAAGTGGAGTAGCTGGCAGTCTGATTTGGGATGCTGGCTCCAAGCAATGGCTTAGTCTGCTGTGCTGCAAGTGCCAACCCTATCCCATTGCATTCACAAATAGATGTGGCTTAGTGCAGAAGCAGAGGCTTCTCTAACTTTGTTTGATTTCCATTTATTTTTTAATGAAAATTTATTTATTTATTTGAAAGGCAAAGTTAGAGTGTGAGATCTTCCATCCACTGGTTTATTTCCCAGATGGCCGCAATGGCCGGAGCTGGGCCAGTCTGAAGCCAGGAGCTTCTTCCAGGTCTCCCATGTGGGTTCAGGGGCCCAAGGACTTTGGCCATCCTCTGCTGTTTTTCTCAGGCCATTCTCAGGGAGCTGGATCAGAAGCAGGAGCAGCTGGAACTCAGACCTGCCCCCATATGGGATGCTGGCACTGCAGGCAGTGGCTTTACCTGCTACTAGATTAGTCCCAGCTGGGGTGCCAGTGCCGCAGGCGGAGGATTAGCTAGTGAGCCGCGGCGCCGGCCTTAATTCCCATTTTCTAAGGCTGAATTAATACTGCAGCCTCAGAAGCTGAAATCAGCTAATTAGCTGCTGCTGCTTTTTCTCTTTTAAAAAAGATTTTTTATCTATTTGAAAGAGTTACAGAGAGGTGGAAACAGAGAGAGAGAGAGAGAGAGGTCTTCTGTCTGCTGGTTCACTCCGCAAATAGCCTCAACAGCCAGGCTGGAGCTGAGCCTATCCAAAGCCAGGAGCTAGGAGCTTCTTCCAGGTCTCCCTCTTGGGTGCCAGGGCCTAAGCACGTGGGCAATACTCCTGCTTTCCAAGGCGCATTAGCAGGGAGCTGGATTGGAAGTGGAGCATCCAGTGCCCATGTTGCTGGCACTGCTGACCAGAGTTTTAACCCACTGCACCACAGCGCCTGCCCTTGCTTTCTCTTATTTTGCCTATGTCACTTGTTACTGTCATTTCAGAGTTTTGTGGTCATATAGTCCTAATGGTTAATGTCTTCTTGTCTTCTCACTGCTGTGAGGCAGCAATAGCTCTTCACTTGTGCTTAATCCCCTCAGAGGGTTGAGGATGACAAGAGCTAAAGTTTTTGGTTTTGCAGTAAGTATTCAGTGTGGTGTATCCCCGTGATAAGCCAGTGGGCTGAAGAATAACATGCAGTGAGAGTCTTGTTCCAGTTCTGTTCCCTGCAGGCAGAAAATACCTTTGAGTGTCCTATTCAGTATACCTTTCACATACAAATGCTGTTGCCTTCATGTGGACCATCCGTGTGGTGAAAGGGGAGTGAGGCTCTTGGCACTTGACTTCTTGAGTCAGGTGTTTCTTAGCAGGAGTTTCTGATGGCGGTGTTAGTGATTTCCCAGAAATAAACATAACTGTATCTCATGGAAATGCCGAGGTACAAGTAATTTTAGATTCTTCTCACTGTTGCTTCCTCTCTTTCAGTATGGGATTATAAACATGAATTTGTGTTCACTCTTGACTCCTACTGTAGGAGTTCTCTTACTCATTGGTAAGGGAACAGCAGATAACCAGCTCTAATAATACTTTCAGATAAATATTGGGAACATATGCTAGTGTGGGAACATAAGGGAAAAATGATTATTTTTAAAGATGTATTTATTTTATTTGAAAAGTAGAGGCAGAGGGAGAGACAGAGAGAGAGGGAGAGAGAGAGAGAGACACCATCTGCTGGTTCACTCCCCAAATGGCCACAATGGCCAGGGCAGACCCGAACCAAAGCCAGGAACCAGGAGTATCACCCAGCACTTGGACTATCTTCTGCTGCTTTTTTAGGCAGATTAACAGGAGCTGGACTGGAAGTGGAGCAGCTGGGACTAAAACTGTTGACCATGAAGGTTCCTGGCATCACAGGTGGTGTCATAACCTGCTGCACCCCAACTCTGGCCCAAGGGAAAAATTCTAATAGATTTGTACAGATACAAAAATAGAACTAAGGGGACCTTATAAATTATGGATAGCTTGATAGTGCTTATTAACATACAACAATTGTTTAAGTTTATTTTTAAAGATTTATTTATTTGAAAGGCAGAGTTATGGAGAGGCAGAAGCAGAGAGAGGTCCTCCATCCTCTGGTTCACTCACCAAATGGCTGCAGCATCCGGAACTGGGCTGATCCAGAGCCAGGAGTCTGCCCGGTCTCCCACACAGGTGCAGAGGATCAAGAACTTGGGCCATCCTATACTGCTTACTGCTTTCCCAGGCCATAGCAGAGAGCTGGATCGAAAATGGAGCAGCTAGGAGTTGATGCAGCACCCATACGGGATGCTGGCGCCGCAGGCAGAGGCTTAACCCATTATGCCACAGTGCCAGTCCTAACAATTGTTTTTATTTATTTTTAAAGATTTATTTATTTATTTGAGTTGCACAGAGAGAGGAGAGGCAGAGAGAGAGAAAGAGGTCTTTTTTTTTAACTTTTATTTAATGAATATAAATTTCCAAAGTACAGCTTATGGATTACAATGGCTTCCCCCCCATAACGTCCCTCCCACCCGCAACCCTCCCCTTTCCCACTCCCTCTCCTCTTCCATTCACATCAGGATTCATTTTCGATTCTCTTTATATACAGAAGATCAGTTTAGCATACATTAAGTAAAGATGAGAAAGAGGTCTTTCATCCGATGGTTCACTCCCCAAATAGCCGCAATGGCCAGAGCTGTGCCGGTCGAAGCCAGGAGCTTTTTTCGGGTCTCCCACGCGGGTGCAGGGGCCCGAGGACTTGGGCCATCTTCTACTTCTTTCCCAGGGCGTAGCAGAGAGCTGGATTGGAAGCAGAGCAGCTAGGTCTCAAACCGGCGCCCATATGGGATGCTGGCACTTCAGGCCAGGGTGTTAACACGTTGCACCACAGTGCTAGGCCCCAACAATTGTTTTTTTTTTTTTTTTTTTTTCATTTTTTTGACAGGCAGAGTGGACAGTGAGAGAGAGAGACAGAGAGAAAGGTCTTCCTTTGCCGTTGGTTCACCCTCCAATGGCCGCCGCGGCCGGCGCGCTGCGGCCGGCGCACCGCGCTGATCCGATGGCAGGAGCCAGGAGCCAGGTGCTTTTCCTGGTCTCCCATGGGGTGCAGGGCCCAAGCACCTGGGCCATCCTCCACTGCACTCCCTGGCCACAGCAGAGGGCTGGCCTGGAAGAGGGGCAACCGGGACAGAATCCGGCGCCCCGACCGGGACTAGAACCCGGTGTGCCGGCGCCGCTAGGCGGAGGATTAGCCTAGTGAGCCGCGGCGCCGGCCCCAACAATTGTTTTTAAATTTTACTTTTATTTGAAATGCACAGAAGGCGATATATTCCCTCTGTTCACTTCCCCAAATGCTTACAAGGGCCCTCGGTTGACAGCCCAAGCTAGGAACTGGGAATGTAATCTAGGTCTCCTATGTAGGGTAGCAAAGACTCAGTTACTGCCAACTCTGCTGCCCCCAAGGATCCTCATTGGCAGGAAGCTGTAGCAAGGCATAGAGCTGGGTATCAAGCCCAGGCACTCTGATTTGGGACATAGGTATTCTAGCCAGAATCTTAACTGTTTTAGGTCAAACACCTGCCCACACCATCAATTCTTAAAATTGGGAGTACATTAGCATTATAGAAATATAAAGATTATGAACTCATATGGGCCAGAGGAAAATAATTGTTCGTGTGGTCCATTTTGAAATCAGTAGCTTGGGGGCCAGTGTTGTGGCATAGTGGGTAAAGCTGCTGCCTGCAATGCCAGCATCCTATATGAGCACCGGTTTGAGTCCCAGCTGCTCCACTTCTTTTTTTTTTTTTCTGTTGACAGGCAGAGTGGACAGTGAGAGAGAGAGACAGAGAGAGAAAGGTCTTCCTTTGCCGTTGGTTCACCCTCCAATGGCCGCCCCTGCAGCCGGCGCACCGCACTGATCCGATGGCAGGAGCCAGGAGCCAGGTGCTTTTCCTGGTCTCCCATGGGGTGCAGGGCCCAAGCACCTGGGCCATCCTCCACTGCACTCCCTGGCCATAGCAGAGAGCTGGCCTGGAAGAGGGGCAACCAGGACAGAATCCGGCGCCCCGACCGGGACTAGAACCCGGTGTGCCGGCGCTGCAAGGTGGAGGATTAGCCTATTGAGCCACGGCGCCGGCCTGCTCCACTTCTGATCCAACTCTCTGCTAGTGGCCTGGAAAAAGCAGCAGAAGATGGCGCAAGTGCTTGGGCCCCTGCCAGCCGTATGGGAGATCTGGAAGAGGCTCCTGCCTCCTGGCTTCATGCGGACCATTGTAGCCATCTGGGGAGTGAACCAGCAGATGAAAGATATCACTCTGTAACTCTTTCAAATAAAAACAAATATTATCAGTAGGTTGAGCTTGTCATTTTAGCCTTATGGTTACAACACTCCTGTCCCACGTCAGAGTACCTGAGTTTGGTGCCTGATTTAACTCCTGACTCTAGATCCCTGCTGGTACAGACCCTAGAAAGCAGTGCTGAAGGCCTGATTGGATCCTTGCCACCCATGTGGGAGAACTGGTGCCCATATGTGATGCCGGCGCTGCAAGCAGAAGCTTAACCAACTATGCTACAACAGGTTCTGGTGTTCTGACACGCTGCAGCTTACAACACCAGCATCCCATGTGAGTGCATGTTGAGTCCCGACTGCTACACTTCCGATCTAGCTCCCTGGTAATGCATCTAGGAACAGAAGATGTCCCAAGTGCTTGGGCCCTGGCCACCCATGTGGGAGATCTAGATCTAGCTCTTGGCTTCAGTCTGGCCATTATGGCCATTTGGGGAGTGAGCTAGCAGGTAGAAGATTACTTTCTCTCTTTGTAACTCTGCCTTTCAAATAACTAAATAAATCTTTTTTTTTTTTTTTTTTTTTTTTGACAGGCAGAGTGGACAGTGAGAGAGAGAGACAGAGAGAAAGGTCTTCCTTTGCCGTTGGTTCACCCTCCAATGGCCGCCGCGGCCGGCGCGCTGCGGCCGGCGCACCGCGCTGATCCAATGGCAGGAGCCAGGAGCTAGGTGCTTTTTCCTGGTCTCCCATGGGGTGCAGGGCCCAAGCACCTGGGCCATCCTCCACTGCACTCCTTGGCCACAGCAGAGGGCTGGCCTGGAAGAGGGGCAACCGGGACAGAATCTGGCGCCCCGACCGGGACTAGAACCCGGTGTGCCGGCGCCGCTAGGCGGAGGATTAGCCTAGTGAGCCGCGGCGCCGGCCCTAAATAAATCTTTAAGCAAAAAATCATTAAGTAGCCTCATGAGGGTAATAACGTGTTGTTTAATAGCACGTCTAGATCAAGTTCTTTGGTGTCAGAAATGGTATAGAGGGCTGTCTGGCATTATGGTGCCCTAGGTTAAGCTTGTGCTGGAATGCTTTCCTCCCATATCAGAGTGCTGGTTCAGGTCCCGTCTGCTCCTCTTTCCATCTGACTTCCTGCTAATGCATCCTGGGAGGCAGTGGATGATGGCTGAATTTCTTGAGCCCCTGCTACCTGTGTGGGAGACCTGGATGGAGTTCTGTGTTCCTGTCTTTGGTTTGTCCCAACCCTAGCTGTTGCAAGCCTTTGGGGGATGAATAAACCTGCAGGTGGAAATTCTCTCTCTCTCTCTCTCTCTCTTTCTCCCTTGATATGCCTTGGAAATAGATGAAAAATAAAACAAACATTAAAAAAACTATCTAGCCAAGTTATAGTATGTCATGAACTCCATTCTGCCTTGTGGTACATGAGTGTGGAGGAAAGTAAAGATGTGGAATGAGAAGCCCCCAGATTTCTGCAGGGGTAGAGATACTCAAATGCAAAGTGAACATTTAGGAGGGTGGCACTGTGGTGCAGCTGGATAAAGTGCCTGCCTGCAACGCCAGCATCCCATATAGGCGCTGGTTCAAGGCCCAGCTGCTCCACTTCCCTATTAATGCACCTGGGAAAGCAGTGGAGCATGGTCCAAGTCCTTGGGCCCCTGCACCCACGTGGGAGACCCAGAAGAAGCTCCTGGCTTCAGATTGGCTCAGCTCTAGCTGTTGCGGCTGTTCAGGGAGCGGACTAGTAGATGGAAGACAACTCTCTCTGTCTCCGCCTCTCTCTCTAACTCTGTGTTTCAAATAAATCTCTCTCTCTTTTTTAAAGGTTTGTTTATTTATTTATTTGAAAGAGTTACATAGAGAGAGAAGGACTTGAGCCATCTTCTACTGCTTTCCCAGGTCATAGCTGAGAGCTGGATTGGAAGTGGAGCAGCCTGGACTTGAACCAGCACCCATATGGGATGCCAGCACTGCAGGTAGTGGCTTTACCTGCTACACCACAGCACCGGCCCCAAATAAATAAATCTTAAAAAAACACGAACATTTAGAAGCATACCTTTGAACGAATATTTTCTCTTTTAGAAAATATTTAATTTTTTAAAAAAGATTTATGTATTTGAAAGGCAGAGACACACAGAAAGAAAGAGATCTTTTATGCTATATTACTCTCTAGATGGCCACAATGGCTGGGCTTGGCTGAAGCCAGGAGGCTGGAACTCCATCTTAGTTTCCATGTGAGTGGCAAGGGCCCAACCACTTGCGCCATCTTCCCTTGCTTTCCCAAGGCAAATTAGCAGGGAGCTGGATTGGAAGCAGAGCAGCCAGGACTTGAACTTATGCCTGGCTTAACCTGCTGTACCACAACCTGGCTTTAGGATTTAGTGATTTTTTTTTTTTTTTTTTTGGACAGGCAGAGTGGACAGTGAGAGAGAGAGACAGAAAGGCCTTCCCTTGCCGTTGGTTCACCTTCCAATGGCCGCCGTGGCCAGTGCGCTGCGGCCGGCGCACCACGCTGATCCAATGGCAGAAGCCAGGTACTTATCCTGGTCTGCCATGCGGGTGCAGGGCGCAAGTACTTGGGCCATCCTCCACTGCACTCCCGGGCCACAGCAGAGGGCTGGCCTGGAAGAGGGGCAACCGGGACAGAATCTGGCGCCCCGACCGGGACTAGAACCCGGTGTGCCGGCGCCGGCGGATTTAGTGCTTTGAAAGGCAGAGGAAGACACGGACATCTTCCATCTACTGGTTCACTCCCCAAATGCCTGCAGTAGCCAGAGGTGGACCTGGCTGAAGCCAGGAAGTCCATCCAGGTTGCCCACATGGGTGGCAGAAACCCAAGAACCTGGGCCATCTCCTGCCTCCCCAGTAGGTGTATTAGTAGGAAGCTGGATGGGAAACAGAAGTGGCACTTTGATCCCTGGCAATCTGAGATGAGCTTCTGGCATCCCAAGCGGTGGCTTAACTTCCCTGCCAAAAGGCAGAGAGAGGAAGAGCTTCCATCTGCTGGTTCATTCCCCAAAAGCCTGCAACAATCAGGGCTAGACCTGGCTGAAGCCAGGAGCCTGAAACTCAATTTGGGTCTTCCATGTAGTGGCTGGGACCCAAATTCTTGATCCATCATCTACTACCTCCCAGGGTGTGCATTAGTAGGAAGCTGGAATTAGGAGCGGAGCCTGGGTTTGAACATAGGCACTCAGATAAGGGATGTGGGTGTCCCAAGTGGCTTCTTAAGTGCTGTGCCAAACGCTTGCCCCTGAAGGATTCTTCTCAGCTTACATTTGTGCCTCTGACAGAGTTTGAAACAGCTGAGACACTTCTAAATTCCGAGGTGCATATGCTTCTGGAGCATCGCAAGCAGCAGAACGAGAGTGCAGAGGATGAACAGGAACTCTCGGAGGTCTTCATGAAGACTTTGACCTACACAGCCCGTTTCAGTCGTTTCAAAAACAGAGAGACCATTGCCAGTGTCCGCAGGTGAGTGCTAAAAGAAAGTCTGTTAGTCCAACTT